TCGACTGACCGCAGAGCGCGTGCTGTCACCTCCGGGTTGACCACACAGACAACAGGCGCGGTGGAGGTGCCCCGGCCAATCACCCTGGGGCCAGATGTGACAGTGATATAACAACACCATGATTACGTTTAATTTGGCCAATTCCCCGCTTGCAAAATCCCTGTTTTTCTTCTTCCAACCAAAGCTGAGTCGCTGCATCTCGAGGGGAGGAGAGAGAGAGAGAGAGAGAGAGAGAGAGAGAGAGAGGGGGGAGATTAAAAAGGGTTTGTTTCCTAACCTCTATTAGGCATAACCTTATGCTCTCTTAGCCATCACCAGTCATGATAACTTCCTCTTCTTTTCATCTCAATCACAGAGAGCGTTGTATTTTTGTCACAAAAAAATGTCCATGCCCATATGTACAACAAGAGCATTTTCCTTTTTGAGCCGAAGGCGGGATGTTAATACAAGGCAGGAAATTTGTACTTATAAAAATAGCTCTACAACGATTTAGCATTGCACTCCTATATGACTGACTCATGCTTGACATTAAAATATCTAATTGATACTGCAGAACCAGGTACTATATCATTTTTGTTAATCCCACACATTCTTCCTTGTCAAAAGCGGTTGCCTACATTACCCACAATGCAACCCGTCATAGATTCAGGTGCGTTGTGGTCGTACCTGCCAGTGTAGCTTTCAGCTGCTATAGCCTCTGGCAGAATAGAGGTGCAGGCTTCAGAGGTCTGGTAAACTCACTTCTTTCTAACTCCACACATCCAGATATTTTCCATTTTACAACTTGTAGTCTCAAGTCCCAACCGACATCACTTGAAGCATATGCAGTAGTACTCCCCTACACCTATAAACTGAAATGGATGTGTAAAATCTCTGGGTATGCCTACTGTAGATACCCATATGATTGGACTGTTGAACTGTACAGAACAAGGATTTTAGATTTTGTGCCCCATCTTTCATCTTTCCAATAATTCAACACATAGGCATGTGAGTGTTATATTAAGATGAAACTGAAAAATGAACTTGAACCTATGATTTAATAATGTCTAGTCCTGAATTCCGTAGGCATTTTACTTTACATTTCCATCCATGTAAGTGTATTGAATTTCAAATGGACAATACAGGTCAAAAGGGTAGCCTACTTCCCATGGTTGAAAAAGATTATTTACTGCATTGCTTACTGCCATCTTGCTCTCCCACTCACTGTTTAAATGGATGTGCACAGATGATTTCCACTGGCCACTGGGCGACCCTTTGACAACCACTTGACCTGCGCGCAGCCTCAGGTTGGGGAGGAGATGCCACTGCCTGGCTGCTGGCTGATCAGTACAGTCACATGCAGAGTGGTGCACAGAATGGATAGGCTGCCCTCTGCAGGCTTCTGGTGGCACTGCACTTTGGCGCACATTCTGTATGCGTTGTTCGCTCTACACGCCTTAGTTCGTTTTGGTTGGATTTGATTTTGATTGTGTGAGTGTTTGCATTTATTTGTAAATGTGACCTGTCTAAAGTCAGTTTTGGATTGTCGGGTAAGGATGCACCAATCCCAAGAAAACTTGGGATTGAAACTGGTTGATTGTATAATGTATTGTATTATTTTGGGGAGAGGAATTTACTCTGATGATCTTTTAAAAAATAAAACAGTTCCCATATAGGCATAATGAGTCATCCTGTGTTTACTGGTAACATAGACATATATCTCCAGACTGCAGTGCTTAACCACAGATCAGTTGTGTAACAAATTTAACAGAGTTGTTCAAATCTGAAAATGAAGAGAGCACGTTCCACATTAATTTTCTACTGTTGCCACTGCTCAATAAACATCAAATATCAAAGTTCAGTCTCAAGTACAGTTAACTTTTAAATCCATATATATTTAACCTGCACTTTTGACATGTTGTCTTCATGTTGTCAATTTTTAAGTCATTTCATTATTTATAGATCAGACATACTCCACAGCATGTATCTTGCTTTCATCTTAGGCTACTCTGTTACACACGTCTTGATAATGCTGATTGTTGTTTCCACCACATCAATCCATATTCATGAATAGCCTGTCTTCTTCCAGGAAGCCTAGGCTGCATCTTCTCTCACTCCCTCACTCACTCACACTTATGTGTTTTTCAGACAGTACTTCTCTCAAAGCTGTTACTGCGAAAAACTGTTTTTCTCTGCTCTGTTTTCCTATTAGAGTCACAACAATAGGCCAAAGACAAAAGGAACAAGGGTGAAGAGATGGAATAGTGGGAAGATGTTATACAAGTCTCTTAAATTTGGTTTGCTGTCTTTGGTGCTTTATGTCAGCTGGGTTTGCTTTTGGATACTATTATTAATTATTGTCAGGAGAATACAAAAGCCCACTTGTTCATCATATTTTCTCTTAAACCAGTACCTACTGATAGCTCTATAGAGCTTCTTCCTTGAGCGGTGGGGTGTCAGGTCTCCTCTTCCCTGCTTGGTGCGCAAGTGCTGAGCGATGAAGCAGGTGTAAGGTGAAAAGTCTGGGTTACTCTCCAGCCATATCACAGTTTTCTTACTGATTTGTGACCCATTGAAGGATACTATAGTGTCAAAAAAGAGCAGTATTCTTCTTGAGTTGTGTGTGTGTGAAGGGACAGTAAATGAACCCTTGAGTTTGAGATACAATTACTGAAGCTAAGTAACCATCGACTGCTAATGCTCTCCAATCATCACGTATAATGTAATTCACTTCTGATGCATACTTGATCGATAGTCCAAGAGGTATGAGGAACAAAAATAAAGAGCTGATAAGTGTGTGTGTGTGTGTGTGTGTGTGTGTGTGTGTGTGTGTGTGTGTGTGTGTGTGTGTGTGTGTGTGTCTAGTGGGCCTGTGTGACCACATCTGCAAATCTGTGTTAAGGTCAGGTTGAAAATAATTCATACAATAAAACAAACATGACACCTGGAGAAAGACAGAAAATACCAAAAGGGACCAGAGAAAGCAAAACGGAGACCAGGAGGAAAAGAAGAACATGATTTTTGAGTTTATGAATTATTTATATGAGTCGGATATTTTAAGCCCCCCATATCATGTCTGTGAGCAATGGGTGGGTGGAGGTACAGAGTGGAGGAGAGGAAGAGGAAGGGGTATCATTTGCCTGTTTCCTCACTGTGGAACACACACACACACACACACACACACACACACACACACACACACACACACACACACACACACAGCCTTACCTCTCCACATGGACTGAGACAAAGAACTATAAAGGAACTCTTGATGCTCATGAACACATTTTAACATCAGAGGAGAATACCTCTCTATCCTTTTGTGAAGGGTTAACCTTATAGGCAAATAGGAAGTGAGATTTGTTTGGTAGTGGAATGTCCAGGGTGTTAATGGTTTTTGACAGTCCTAATGTTTGTAGCATATTTATGAACAAAATATCATGGAATTATATTATTTTTTAGATATTCCTCTCAGAAAGATAAGGCGTGATTTCTCTGTTATGTAAGATGCAATATTTTTTTGTTTGAGGGCTATTTTATACATGTTTGTGACAGACCACAGTCACTACAGTTGAGTATGCGCTGAGACTGCCATAGCAATGAGCCTGGCTCTTTGGCATCGCGGTCAAGTTGCATGTTTGGTACCCTGTAGACATGGGTTCAAATCTGGGTGGGGTTACTGCTCTTGCCTACACATCACAATGTTGTAAACAAAATTCAGCTGCACAGTTTACCAGTAATGCACAAAGAGAGAGTAAAAGATCCAAGTTTAGTCTACATGGAGTCTACTCACAGACACTAGGGGCAGATAGGATGTGTTTATTTGTGAGTCACTAGGTGAATTCATGTGGTCCAGAAAAACAAGAAGTGAATCACTAACTTAGCATGACAGACAGCTTTAAACAATGCCCTTCATCCATGTCTACTCATCCAACAGAAATCCACATGTAGCTGACTGATGAAGGCATCTGTTCTTAGGTTTAAATGTCTCTAAACCAGTGTTAAGTTAAAAAAATCAAGTCATTCATGAAAACAGCCGGGTTAGCATTTCTTCACTGTTCATAAGTAATGCCTCCTTCTCCATATATGTCATGTTTGGATCTATTTATAAATAATCTGTAACTGGACTGACTGCAAGTCAACTGCAGAAATAAAAATTAAGTAAAGGATTTATATATATTATATAATATGAGAGCAGGTTACTCATTTTGAATAGCAGATATCACCTTGTTAAACACAGCTCTTAAAATCAGCTCACTGTTCACACTTATTAGAAACTATTAATGCATCTTATTGGCTAAAACAATATTGAAGACCCTTGCAGTGCTGTGTTGGGTTGTAAGTAAAGATATATAATGGAGTGCAACCTACACAATGTAGGCCAAATCCATAAATCAATTCTGCTCATTAAACATACTGATAGGCTGAAGCTCCCCAGTGGCGTTCTTTTTATACACTGCAACAAGTGTTCTTTGAAAAATAATCATAATTTAACTTTTTCCCTCCGTGTTCAAGAACAAGAACTACTGATCCAACAAAAAATGTTGGTCGTCCACACTTATAACGGCTATAAACTACGAAAAACAAACAGTCCTCAGGCTGTTTACCTTCTTACAAGGAGGTAGTCCCTATAAACAGAAAGTATGTGCTGTATGTGCTAGAGGAGGCTAATATAGGGGGCTTCCACTGTTCCACAGTAGTGATGAAAAGAGGGCCTTTCCTCCTCCACACACACACACACACACACACACACACACACAAATGTACAGATGTGCACACAGTACTTACACAGGTTTCCCCTATGGAACCTGGTGTGTTATAAAGAAAGTTCAGGTTGACAGGCAATTAACTGTGCTGTGTATTAAGTTACAAATCAGCTGCAAGGTGCAAATGTTCACGCAGTGTGAGGCATTATTTGCTCTGTCCATTAGATATCGCCTCATGCAACATAAAAACACAAGTGCCTTTGTGTTTATTAAAATGACAGGCCTTAGGAGAGAAATGGCCGGTAAATCCTCTTAGTTTAATATGTTAATTTTATTATTTTCTTGTGGCCACTTTAAATCATTTGATAAACGCTGCCTACAAAATAAAAGTGTTAAGTCAGGACAAGAGCAATAAAAACACATACAATGTCTATAAAAAGTATTCACCTCCCCTGGATGTTTCACCCTTTTGTTTCTTTTATACATGAAATCATGGTCAATATAATTTGGCTTTTTTGACAAACATTTGCAAAAAAACAACCCCTCTTTAATATCAAAGTGAAAACTTTGTCAATTAATTAAAAATATATAAGGTAAAGAAGATGATTGCATAAATATTCAACTCTTCAGGTCAGTTAGTAGATGCACCTTTGCCTGCAATTACAGCACTGAGTATGGATATGTTTCAATCAGGCTGGCACATCTGGACACTGCAATTTTTCTCCGTTGTTCCTTGCAAAACAGCTTAAGCTCTGTCCGGTTGCTCGGGGATGGGGCGCAAACAGCTCTTTTCAAGTCCAGCCACAAATTCTCGATTGGATTGAAATCTGGGCTTTGACTTGGCCACTCCAGAACATTCACCTTGTTGTCTTTAAACCATTTCTGTGTATCTTTTACTGTATGCTTGGGGTAGATGTCTTGCTGGAAAATAAATCTTCTCCCAAGTTGTAGTTCTCTTGCATACTGAATCAGATTATCCTCCAGGATTTGGCAATATTTTTCTGCATTCATGTTCCCTTCTACCTTCACAAGGATTCTAGGGCCTGCTGTTGCAAAGCATCCTCAGAGATGCCACCACCATGCTTCACAGTGGAGATGGTGTGTTTGTGGTGATGTGCAGTGTTTGGTGTTCACCAAAAAGCAAAATTTTTGTCTCATCAGACCAAATCCTCCAACCTTGGAATCGAGCACATGCCTTTGGGCGAATTCCAGGGGAGATGTCATATGAGCTTTTTTCAACAGTGGCTTTCTCTTTGCCACTCTCCCATACAGCTTCGACTGGTGAAGAACCCAGGCAACAGCTGTTGAATTTACAGTCCCTCCCATCTGAGCCATTGAAGCTTTTAACTCCTTCAGAGTGGTCGCAGGTGTCTCGGTGGCCTCCCTCACCAGTCTTCTTCTTGCCCAGTCACTCGAGGACGGACAGCTCTAGGCAGATTTAAACAAGTGCCATACTCCATCCATTTCTGAATGATGGATTTAACTGAAATCCGTGGGATGTCCAGTGAGTTGGGAATGTTTTTGTATCCATCTCCTGACTTGTACTTTTCACTGGACCTCCCAGACACAGGTGTTTTTTTATACTACAATCACTTGACACACATCAGCTGAACTCAGGTGATCTCCATTTCACTAATTGTGACACTGCTGGCATCAACTAGCTGGACTTCTATTGAATTAGGTCAGTCACTCTAAAGGTGTGAATATTTATGCAATTGTCTTCTTTACCATATATATTTTTAATTAATTGACATCAGTTTATAAAAATCCATTTTCACTTTGATATTGAAGAGGGTTTTTTTTTGCAAATTCTTGTTAAAAAAGCCAAATTATATTGACCATGATTTCATAGTTGGAATATTGGCTCTCTGACTGGCTTAAAGAGAACTGGAGCTCCTACACAGCTAATCAAACAGCAAACAGTCCATCAATACCCATCAGCTATCTGAAAGGCTGCCTGGCTACTGTCCTTAGCTGACATACCGGAACCCAGCCAACTGAGACGGCCAGAGGGAGCATTATACTTCTGCTAATATATGTCTGGGAGGAGAACCAGATCACCCACTGTGCATTACCTTGGTGCTTAGCGCTGCTGGAGAGGCAGAGATGGAGAGAGATGAACACAAGAGAAAATGTGTGGGAAATGAAATATGAGAGGGGCAAATAACAGAGAGGGGAAGCGGGAACAAACTCAAGCAGCAGCGATGAGAGCAGAAGGGAAAGACAATGAGAGGAGAGACAAACATTTCCAGCACCTAGGGGAAGTGTTAGACTCAACGAAATGGCACTGGTACAGCAAATGTTTGTACTTCTCCCACTCTATGTTGAGCCAGGAGTCAAGGGCATTTTGCACTCCTCTCTCATCTTCCTCACTCTCTCCGTCTCACTTTCACCCTTGCTGGTTTTATAAATAGGCCACTTCGCTTTCTCAGTAAACCATAGAGAGCACAAGATTCACTTGAGGAGAGAAGCGGGACACAAAACCAGTGAGGAGGTCAAGGTCGACAGTCGATTCAAACATACCTTCTCTAATGGACATGAGAGCGGCCGCTCCCCTTTTATCAATTTACATTGTATATGGAACTTTTATGTTGTCTTTCCCATGGCTTTATTCGTTTCTGAGAGCACCAACAGAGAAATGGACGTGTTACAAACTATATGCATGAGTGACTTTGCCATGTTTTAACAGAGGACTTACAGTGAGTTCTTGAATTTCACCCATTTCATATAAGAATCCAATGGTCTTTTTGCCTTCATATTGCATCACATGAGAAAGACACAACAGTAGCATGAGGTTATCATGAAGATGCTGTTATTGATATTATCATCAAAACCACTCTTATACATATTAGTTTTATTTTTACAATTATTTTAATCTATAGATATTATCTTTTAATCTGTTTATATTCAGTAACTGTGAAGTGCATGGCAAGCGTCCACGTCCTCGTTCAGCATCCATTCCTTTGTGTGCAACAATTGGACAATTTGCTTCTTGGTTCAGTCTTTTTCATTACATTGGTAGAAAAAACATACACTTTATACAGACAGTACTGAGTGCAGACCACCATGAGTAGAGGCTGCACTACAGTGAAGAAGCTGAAGAATAATCTCATACGCACACATTTGGGACTAGTTGATGAAGTTAGAGGAAGCCGAGTAAGTAGAGGTGGTTGTCTGGGGGTAAATTTTTATTAAGACAGTAGAGATTCAGAATCAATTTGACCAAGGTGTGCATGTGTATTTCAGTTAAACCTCAGCCCCTACACTGTAGGGCTCAAAGGTGAGCCAGTAATAACATTTAAATAGAAAAACATAGTGAAAAAAAAACTAACGACAGTTCAATTATAAAGTGTCTAATGACACAAATAAGTTATGTTCTCATAGAAATTATACTTCCTTTTTGATATCTTAGTCGTCTTCCATCCTTAGTCCCTGGATTAAACCTAAGAGATAATTCACCTACTATACAACTTTAGTTTCTTGGATTAATTCAGCAAGCATACACTTTGATTCCCTGCTACACAGGAATCTGTACATGGCAGAAGCTCGTTTCAAAGCAGAAGCTTTAGGCATCATTTAAGACATCATTGAAAGCAGCTGTAACTCTTACATACATACATTGTTTACATGGCTACGTGTGTTCACCACCAGCAGTGGGTTTAAGTCCATTCACTTTGTGGCCTTCACATTTGATAGAACAACAGGTGTCTGTCCTGACAGCAGATGGAAACACAGAGGTGTATGTTCACAGGCAGTGTGTGTACAAGCCTGTGTACACCAGCTGTATGTGTTCAAATGTCCGGCGTGTGTCACTTGTCCTCTCGTCTGTGTTTTGGTGTACAGCAAAGACATGTTTTCCTTGGTTGAGATGATCCTGATGTGGCGTCCTGTTGGTTTTTCCAAGAGGGTGTTTTTGTCTTCACAGAGTGTCACTTCAGTGGTGTCCTTGGTAAGAGGGGAAAAGACAGCAGTACAGACGAAGATTTCAAGCCACTTAACGTCCCACAGGTGTTCCAGTACACAAGAAAAGTTTAGAAAAATACAAGTACACGAAGCAAAAGAGTGTGTGGGCAGTGTTTATCTTACTTTCTTGGTCATATTGCTCTTCCTAACTTACATTCCAAGTAACAGGCCCTGGCTGACAATGCAGCTCATCTCATTTGTCAACACATGCTTGTGGATCTCATCTCTACTGTGTGTAGCACGACATTCCTTTTTGAGTTTTCTTTGTTTAATGTACTCTATGCATGTGTTGAATATATACACAGGCTATAAACAGAGTGCTGGAATATAATATACAGAACACTGTACTGTAGCTGCTCTGGCCTGGGGTCAAGAAGAGCAATGCTTTAGATAACTGCTACCACATTGTCTCTAAAAGCTATACACTCAGCTTGTGTGTCTCTAAAAGCTCTCTTTTCTCTCACAATCTCTTTGTCTCTCTCATTCTCTCTCACACACAGACACACATGCACAGACACCACGGCACACAGAATGATGGACCTATATATCAGGGATATAGAAGGGCACTCAGACAGTCCCTTGGAGCATTATGATACACTTCGCTGAGCAAAAGTCTGGCTGACTGTTTGGCTCTCTGTGCATCCACTGGGCTGGCAGCAGATAGTAGCTGTTGTGCTGGGTTGTGACTGTAACTGTCTATAAAGACTTTAAGCTGAAAGGAGCGGGACAGTAGTTACCATCTGAACTGTGTATCATAGGTTTAGCTATCCCTGTTCTGAAGGCAGCATTGCTTTGGACTCTCATCTTTTGCTGTTTTTTTTCTAAACCTCTCAAACCTTCCGTGTTTCCTCTCATGTTTAGGCTGTTGTTACTTTCTCAAGCCTCCTTACATTAGCGACATTAAACAAATGTTCTCATGGACACACAACCCTCTCTGGGTAAATACTTCACATAGATTGTGCCTTAACAGTATTTCAGATATAGCAATGGCCAGAAGATGTACATACATAGCATGAAACATACTTTCAAAACAAGACCCTTGTAGTTTAATGCACATAGCGCTAATACCTCTGGAGATATTGGAATATATTAATGTCAGTTTGCTTTTTAAGTATTATTCTTATTAATTCATGCCACAATGAATACTTCAAGGACATGCAGCACTACAATAGCAGAATGGTATCTGTTTGATAAGAAGGTGATGAAGGACAGATAGTATAAGTCCTGCATTATAGTGGGCAAAATACACAAATGGAATGACAAATGTTCAAACTGCATGATTACCAAAAAAGAAAAACTAAAACTAAATACTGAGACAACATTAATTACCCAAGATACAAATGCCAGGTCATGGCACATTCGTTTTCGGTGACCTGATAATTGAGGCAGCCACACTTATTAAATTAAATCTAACAATGAAATAATTGAAAAATATTTTTGTTGTTTTTAACTTGTTCCAGAGGCAGGCAAACGTTTTCTGTATGGTTTAAGGAGAGAAATACATATGAAAGGGGGCATGGTAGGCAAAGATTACCTATCAGCTTGATTTGGTAGATGATAAATCAATTTTATCTGTATGAGCTCCTGTGTATCACAAAGCAAGTTTACAGCTGACCTAAACGCTGACTTTGCTTCTTAACCATTAATACAGCAAGACTGAATAATACAAAGCTTGCATTTGGGATATGACAATAGATGGACCTTAAGGGGTCAGACTAATTTTAATTGATGACTGAGCTCTTTCTTTGGTAGTGGGTCTTTAGAAAAACTGTCATGTTTAACTTCTTGAGATAAGGCCTTAAAAAACATACATTAACTACACATAAAACTTGTTTACCTTGCTGCCACAAACCTTAAACTGTGTTTTAAAGTTTGAGGGATCATTTTCTGCTTAATTCTGCACATTCTGGACATACAATGTACAGTGTCATAGTGAAAAACATCATAGACAAAATTTGCTCCTGACAAAAACAACAAACTAAAAATTCACTTAATCTCATTTTATCTATTTCTACAAACATGGAATGCTATGAAGTCAAGAACAGCAACCTTTGTGCTGGGCAGCTGTGTAAAACTCAACACTTCTCACTGTCTGTTACAGTGGACCTGGGTGGCGGTTATAGAGACACTTGAAGGTGCAGTTAAGAGAATGGATATATAGGCACTCACTCAGAACGCTACAGAACTTTCTTCCCATATTAGGTTTTTTAACCATAAAAATTGTAGGTGATAAACACACATTTGCCATATTACTAAAAAAAACAAAAAATATATATTACAACAAATCAAATAAATAAACAAGACATTCATTGTGTTTAGAGAGACATTTCTGTCCAACTGCTAGCCTGCATTGGCTGGAAACAAAAAAGGCAGTCTCGAGAGAGTGTATATACTGTAAATCCACTTGAGCGTCATCAAGGAAAAATGAGGAAGAAGAAGGTGTTGTGCTATTGTGGTCCACAGCACAGCACTGTCATCTATCTGCTAGTCTCTACAGAGGCCACTCTTTTGTACTAGACAATATCTAGTGTGGGCCCAGGGAGGAATGCTTGTGCACTTAGGCTTTCTCTCTGACAAAGAATGCAACAAATGACCATTTGGCCAAAAGCACATTAGTATCACTCTCTCTCGCTCTCAGTTGCTCAATTCAGTTTTGCCCTAACAGAACAGCTGTGATCTTAGTTTTTCCTCTGAGTCGGGACCTTGGCAGTTAGAGCAGCAGATTAAAGTGGCTCATGAATGCTTATATCGTGGCCTGCTTTAATGTCACACGTTAAATAAAAGTTACGCTGATCAAAATTACTGTTATCGGGCATCTTCTCCTGGCGGCATTTTGAGCAAGAAGGTAGAAACTAGTGTTCCCTTTACACTGTTGATATTGATTATTACTGGTTAGGCTACTAATTGGCTACTGTTGCGAACAGGACAAGTACTGCCACATAAGTAAGACTAACTCCATGCAGACACTGATAACGTCCTAAATAAAATGGGTGGCAGTTCTATGATATATGCCATATATATCATTTAAGAGAACATAATGTCCTCTCTGCTGACCTTTACTCCAGGTTAATCTCACTCATCTGCTCTGTACTGTCATACTGGGTGCCATTTTTTGGTCAATACATGGAGTCTTCATCCTCCCGTCACAGTCCCCGTAGACTCCAGCTCAAGTTCACCATCTACAGTAGCTCACATTATACATCTGTACGCATCTTAGTGATATTTACGTAGTTAGTGTTAGCCAGGGTGCAGTTTCCTGTTTTCACGCCCTCTTGTCTTAAGCCCTCAGTGCTGTGGTTATCAGCCTCCTGGATCTCCACATATTCAGATTTACTGAGAGTGGATCCACTGCCACTCCGACCGCTCTTCTTCAGATCGTCAGCTGAGCTAGCTTTAGGCACACTTGGGATGTTAAGATACTGTGCCTGCTCCTCCCCCTCCGTCTCTCTGTGGTAGAAGTAGTTGAAGTTTGACACGATGACAGGAACAGGCAGGGCAATAGTTAGCACACCGGCAATTGCGCAGAGAGACCCCACAATCTTTCCTCCAATGGTTGTTGGAACCATGTCTCCGTAGCCCACGGTGGTCATGGAGACCACAGCCCACCAAAAGGCCTCAGGGATGCTGCTGAACTGGGAATGTGGCTCGTCTGCTTCTGCGAAGTAGACAGCACTGGAGAAGAGGATTACGCCGATAAACAGGAAGAAGATGAGGAGGCCTAGCTCACGCATACTGGCCTTCAGAGTCTGTCCCAAGATCTGGAGCCCCTTGGAGTGACGCGAGAGTTTAAAGATACGAAACACCCTGACAAGACGAATGACACGGAGAATAGCCAAAGACATAGCCTGCTGGCCTGCCTGAGCGTCCTCTGGCCTCTCTGCTAGCTCTGTGCCTAGGGTGATGAAGTAGGGGATGATTGCCACTATATCAATGATGTTCATGATGTTGCCAAAAAATCCAGCTTTACTGGGACAGGCAAAGAACCTCACTAGGAACTCAAATGAGAACCAGATGATGCAGAGCGTCTCCACGATGAAGAAAGGATCTGTGAAATAATCCGAGCCATCATAGGTAGAGGTGGCATTGGACATGGACTGGAATTGAGCATTGTAGATCTCCCCATCATCATTTCGGAAAATTGGCAATGTCTCCAGACAGAAGCTGACAATAGAGATAAGAATCACCATGACAGAGATGATGGCAATGATGCGAGCAGGACCTGAGCTCTCTGGATACTCAAACAGCAGCCATACTTGTCTCTGAAACTCGTTCTCTGGCAGGGGTCGCTCCTCTTCCTTTATGAAACCTTCATCCTCCCTGAAAATTTCCATAGCCTCCTCACCCAATTCATAAAAACGGATCTCTTCAGAAAAAATGTCCAGGGTCACATTAACAGGCCGGCGCAGCCTGCCTCCAGATTGGTAATAATATAGAATAGCATCAAAACTTGGCCGATTCCGGTCAAAAAAGTACTCGTTCCGGAGAGGATCAAAATACCTCATCCTCTTCTTGGGATCCCCCAGCAGCGTCTCTGGAAACTGGGAGAGGGTCTTGAGCTGTGTCTCAAAGCGTAAGCCTGAGATGTTGATGACGACCCTTTCACAGCACTCATGATCCGGCTCTGGGTCGTACTGGTCATGAGGCTGACCTGGATGTGCTGCGGCTTCGTCCGCAGGGTCGCTGGTGGCAACCGTCATGCTGGAAGGAGATGGTACCTGCAGGTTTCAGACAGGGTGGGGCCACCTCGGGCCACGAGGAGATGAAGGCTCCACACGCTTGTGGGCTCGGGTACAGGCAGATCTGCCTGTGAAGAGCTAGAGGATGGGACAGAAAGCAGACTGCAATAATGAATGCCATGATTAGCTCAGTACTTCTTTTAGGTTTATTATTTCATAAATATTTTGAGCATGCATATTCAACAACATTACTGCCATATATTTCTGAACCATTCATTTTGCTAAATGTAAAATCTTTCACAGACTAAAATTGTTAGTAATTCCCAGAAATGCAGGGCAGTTGGTGGTGGAGGGACGAACCATTTGAACGAATTGGCTCCATTGCGTCTTTGAGTATTAGGTTATGAGTTCTCTCTCATATGAGCACACTGCCGGATCAATATGCTAGCCAGTAATACTGTATCAGCTCTCACGGGGTGCAATTACAACCAACAAATCTGATTATATGCTGAGTGCTCCATACAACCTCCAAGATGAATTTCCCCTCTCTGCATGTGTGATGTGACAAACATTCTCTCCCAAAGCTGAGAAAAACTCCATCAAGTCACTGATCAAATGAATAGTTTATCAGTAAATTATGTTTAGGGGTGGTTGTCATAGCCAGTGGTTGACATAGCCGCTGCTATACTGCAGAGCTGTTTGAAAAGTACTATAACATTCAAACTTCAAAGGCCTCTGCACAAAAAATATGTATGAAGATGTAGGCATATAGTAAGCCTAGGTCTATTTCAGGTCAAACGTTTTTACTTTAAATACACAGATATAAATGTGTAATTTGGTAGTAAAAGCAACACTATTTGAATAAAAGCATTAAAGTCCTACCTATTTGCACTGGCTTGTTCACAGTGTGTCCTTTGGTTGTAGGCTACTGCCTAACAGGCCCCGCAGAAGTGTCTGGTCAAAAGTCAGCTCCCACGGTCAAAGCAGCTCCTGCCAGCCATACATCACTCGAAGCTCCGGCTCTGCAGTAACGCAGCAGTGGGAGTGGGAGAGGGGACAAGGCGTGAGGATGCAGGAGTTACCTCCCTCGCCCCAGTGACCAGCAGATACATGTTGTGATACAGCTAAGCTACAGGTTGAAACTGGTGGGGGTGGGGCGCGGGGGGGGGGGGGGGGTGATGTTATGGTAGGCAAGTGGTTTTAAAAAGGAAATCTTAAAATGCTGGCATCAGCAACATATGACGCCTCTACTTCAGAACAATACGCTGCCGCCTGTAAAGGTATCCTCTAATCTGGTATCTGCAGAGACTTATTGGGGAAGTGAGGATGCGGGTGGCGCTGCTGTCAGTATTTCTACTCGGAAGCACCCATGTTTCGGCAGATTTCATCTACAGCGAAATCACCTGTTTGATCCCGAAACAGGTCCGTATAGGTTTTTGCATCTATGCGTTTTAGCTCGTTAAAATGTTATTTTTCAATTGATCTCTTGTAAATGCCACCATCTTTTTTTTCTGATGGGGAATATCCATATGAAGACACCAATGATGCACATTAGTAACAAATGGAGGCTTATGTTCACAACCCATTCCATGGAATAACGCAGTTCTCTGATGGCGTTTTTAACAAGTGAACAACTATTTATTTTTTTTCAGAAATTTGAGACAAAGCAGCCAAGTTCATGCACTGGGATTTTCAAACATTAAATGGCAGTGTTGGAGTTGATTGGCAATCGCCGAGTGAGTGAGTTTAGAGTGGCAGGTGCCAGACATGCTCAAGCCATTTGCAGCCCTCCCCTGTGTGGATCATGGACAGCCACAATAGACTCCATGCACTAAACAAAGCAGCATAGCATTATCTGTCGGACTACAGCATAATTTCAGATAATGGCATGCAGGAAATCACCCTGAATCTCTTCGTGCGCAGAAGCATGTATGTTTGTCCAGTTATCGTGAGTCCATTCCTTCATATCTGTCCTTCTTCCCTTCATTTGACTAATCTGTCAAGCGGTTGTGTCATCTCATCACGACCAACTGTTTTTGAGCTGCCGGTTCTTCCCATCTCTCTCATATTTCACCATAATTCACCATAGTTGAGACGCGTGGGCTGCAGTAGGGCATCGCAGCGCATACTAACAGCTTCTTGCGCGCCTCGCCCCATCCCTCTGCGCTCCCCCTTCCCCGACACTCCTGTCCTCACTGCTCCACATTAAAGGGGAAGCATCGCCCACCACAGGGTGGAAACGATTTTCAGCAAAACCTCTGGAGAGAACAGTGAAAGGCAGAAACTGACAGCAAGATGATGATAATTTTCCTTAAATCTTGTAACTGACTTTGCGGCTCACCCTGTGCCCATGATGCTACACTTGACAACATACATGCCTACATTCACAAAGACCCCACAAACAATATAATGTTTCCTTTGGTCTGGGAGAATGTCAGGGAAGAATTAGAAAAAGAAATATAGGGACCATCTTGAAATCAGGGCGATGAATTGGAAGGAATGGGGAACAATGAACCAGCAGCTGCACCTGTGCTTATCCCTGATTACTGTGTGAACAGATCCTAAGATCTAGACAAGTCCTAGACCAACCTGCCTGAGATATTCTCCTAACCCAAATTAATGATTTTATCAGTATTTTCCTGTAACTTATGGTTTGAGTGCTTGACTGGGTGTGTGCAAGTTTGAATGGCTGCTGGAAGTGTTGGGATAATTTGTTTGTTTGTTTGCTTTATTACATTTGTCCGCACATATATAAAAGTAAAGCATGTGCTCAAAAATGTGTGTGTCACCTGTGAGGTCCTTAGTTTATGCAGGATACAGAGGCAGGCTCCAGTGCAATTTGTTGAGTCGCTGATCATGCTCTAATCATTTACAGACCTGCATATCAGAGTCCACTATAAGCGCATGCACGCACACACTCGCTCACTCACTCTCTCGCGCGCGCACACACACACACACACACACACACACACAGAAGACTGATGCTAACAACTCTTAATGCAATCGCAAACTAGATGTTCAACGATTAGACAGTCAAAGTAACTGGTGCACTTTTCCTGCAGACAGTATTCCCTGCCCTTCTTTCCTCCACTCTTTGAAAGTAGGCTTGGTGAAAAACCCCAGATATTTCCTCAGGCACAGAGCAGGAATCGCACATGAAAGAAAAAAAGACTCCACAACTCCCTAGAGAAGGAATACCACATGTCCTCCCCTGTGTGTTCTTGCTCTGCCATTCTTTACAGCTCAAGGGCAGGTTCAACATAATATGCAGGCCTTCTCCAATCAAAATGTCAAAAAATGCTGAAAAAGATGATGACATGGGACCACAGGGACTGCAGCAGTAGCCCTCTCTGCATAGAGCTGATAACCAGTTTGCCACTCTGGCTGAAGGTCTCAATTAGGGGTTATCGACACTTTTACATAAGCAGGCTGATTTATGGGCAGGAACTCTTAAATCTTCATCGTCCATGAATTTAAATGAAGAGAACCCAATTCTAAATGGAGGGCAGCTAAGAGCCCAGCTACTAATATCCAGAGCTGGGTGTCAGCAGTGTAATGATTCATCCTCCACATTCACAGCAATTGTCTACAACCCAGTTTATAGTATTAGAGGGATGGGGAAGTGGGCACTTAGAGTATGGGATATAGTGTTAAATTGGCCTGGACTGAGGCAGGGGCGTGTCCTCTGTTGACTGAAATGGTTTATTTCATTCTTGCAACTAATTCCTTATTTAAAATTTGCATACACTGTCAATGTTTATGTCACATTTCATGTTACATTTCAGTGTTCGTAACCATGACTACAATATTTTCCTTAACCTCAACCAATAGGTTTTAATTATTTAGCCTAAACCATACTCTAACTCTACCATGCTTGAATGACCCCTTAATACCTGAGCCATAATTTAACCTTATCATACCTGAACCATATATTCAGTTACCGTTCCTAGCTTACATTGAATGTGTTTTGCAGATAGAGACAATATGTCTGATGTTTCAAAAAGAAATGTTGGAGTTAGGGTTAGAGTTGTTGTCCAGCATTGCAATTAAGCAAAAACAAAGGTTTGTATATTGGTGTACTGTGTCAGGTGAAAGGGACAGGTGCATACCTGTGTTCTGAAAACAACGGGGAAAGTTAGTTATTGTAGTTTTTCCCGGTGATTTGGCTCGCTTACTAACACTTTCAGCAGGAGCAACAGCAGTGTCTGTGAGACAATTCATGGAGGCAATTATGGTACTTTAAAACCCTTAGCACCTCACTGCCACAGTGTGCTTAACAATTCATACTCCTTCTGTGAATCATAATTCAGTCAATTCTGAACAGACAGACATTATACACATATTTTTAGACTTAATACTTTTATATTACTGGCACACAGTTGACCCAGAGGTTTGAGGGCCATTGACCCTCCAACTATTTTAGATCCTCAATTCTGTCTCCAGTTCCCTCTCACCTTCAAGTTGTGCCAAGTCTCAGAATGCGACCATTGATTCTGTTTTGTGTTCAGCCGAGCAGACCTGTGGGAACCTCAGAGAAACTTGAGAATGCTTTGCGACTGATGACCCCACATGACTTCCTGTCTGAGTATTTTTCACACTGTAAAACATATTTTTTAGGCAATTTTCGATTCTGACTCCTCGTGACAGCTGGTGCACCATAGTGGTTGCCCAGGTTCCCAGGCTGAGGGGGAGCCCCAAAATGTCTAGAAAGAAATGTCTGTGTTGTCTGAGTTTAGTTGATTGAGAGAGCTGTGCATAAGAAACACACTATTTTTAGATGTTATAATGTTGTTTAGGACAACATGAAAGTGCCCATAACTCTATCATGTGCACAGAACCCATTATTCCCGTGATATACGGTAAGCACATTCTATTAATTTACTCAGATAATAATTTCACTGTAATTCCACACAAATAGTTGAGTTAAGACTAAATAGTGAGATGATCAGAATATTTGCGTCACCAGCATGCGAGTCAGCAAACATGCACACCTAAAATCCTTTCTATGCAGCAGAACATGTGGAAGTGAGAAAGGGAGTAGGAGAGTTGACAAGCGACAGAGTGAAGGAGGGAAGAGGATGTTGATCCAACTTATGACAGCAGACTGCAGGGGAGGAGCTTTCTCCTGGATGACCTCAGCTGGTGCTGCAGCAGGTGATCACTCACTTACAAGCTATAACACACTCCAGCTACAACGCACCTACACACACACACACACACACACACACTAAGCAACTGCGTTGGCATGTGTGTACACATTTAGATAAAATCATACTAATTCCATGTCTCTATAGCCCCAAGACAAGAAACTTTAATGGAGATTGGAGAAAGTAAACAAAGTAAACACATACAGTATGCACACATATATGCAAATAATGGCACTAATCATGATACATGCCCTGCTACACAACATGGCTGCCTTGTCTCTTTTACACTTATATTCCTAAATTACAGAATGACAGCTCCATATACTACCTAACCTTTCGTTTCACTGTGAACACATGGAAATCGTCAGTCGGTTTCTAATTAATTTAGGCATTTAGGCATTTAAATAGCACTCAGCTAAAAAGGCATTCTCCTCCTTGACAACTTACCAATGAACTTAATTACCATATTAACTTATTTTGACCTTTCGTCCCTCTTTTTTCCTTTGTAGTCTCATCTCTCTCCCTGCATGTCTCCATCTGAGGTCCCTCTATATTTAGAGGATGACCTTGGAAGTTCTCTAACTGCCTGTTGAGAGCAGCCAGGCTGATCACTGCTTTCATGAGATATGTCCTTACCTCTTTAATAGTATAGTACTATTATTGATTCCGGATATGATTTCAGTTTCTGTTGTTTTCTCAGCCTTCGAAAACAGGGGAAAAATCAATGACCTAACTCTGGAGGTGTGACTTAGCTTAGCCTTCGAGAGGAAACTTAGGGATATATTCATGATATTTATGCTGCAGACTGCATGACTTGACAACATTCACTGAATGTGCAGTGGCATTAAGGGAACCTCCCACTTCAAAAGGGAGGAATGGAAAAGGAAGAAAAGGTTGAAATTATGT